GTTGGGATTTTTTGTCAGAGAAAAAAAGAATTTCATTATTCACTTAGAAAGCAGCTTTTTACAATGTGAGACTGCTTAACACTAGATGGCAGGATGAGACTGCAGATACCTCACTCCTCAAAGCTAAGTGTAAAATATCTGCTGGTTTCTCAAAGGTATTGAGAATTTTTAGGCAAATACGTTGTAGTACTCTTTAATATATGTACTGTATATAATTCCACTTCCTTTATGTTTAAAAACTTTCACTGTATACAACAGAGTGATGTTAAACATGAGTAAATTATTGAAGAGAAACATATAAATTACTAGTAACTTTACAAGTTATATACGTATGACAATAGCTGAATAAAAAAGTCTGTAGTGGGAGAACATTCATACTATTTGGCATCTTTAGAACTTAAGACATGGTCATTTAATCTTATGCTACTTATGTCAACACACATAAGCTTAAAATTAAATAGTTTATTTTTGTAATCAAGATTGACATTCTGCAAATAAGCAGTTCAGCAAAAATTCACAATAAATACATATCTAGGGACGAAAAGGGCATCTTTTTCAATGCCAACTAAAACTATCCTAGAAATAGGAAGAACTATTTTAAACTCTTCTGGGAAAGGAGACTCAAGTTTGCAAAGGAATTCCTCTCAATATTTATGCTACCACTTGTCAGTGCACTATGTGTAAGTATGGCTAAGGTGATCATATATATACTTTTACATTCAAATCATGACAGTTTTGAGTGTGGAAATATGAACTGGGGCTAACCTAGCAAACTGAGGCATAATGTCACCATAATTAATGGTGTTAATTCTTGGAAAGGTCATTTTGTACCCTCATTTAAGTGAGAATTTATAATTTTGTTATATTGAAATGTTCATTTTGAATTAGTCTATGTCTTGGCTCATTTGCCAGTGTCAGCTCTTTATTCTAGCAAGGATTCTTCCTTTTGGAAGAGGAGAGGCTCAAACAATCATGAATATCTATAAAAAATATTGATTTTCTTGAGAGATCCAAATCCAAGAATACTTAATAAGAATAATGAATAAGAATAATGAAAAGAATAGGCAGACTTTTAGCCAATTGTTTTTGATTTGTTATTTGACTCTCTTGGGGAAACACATTATAAAATACTAGAAGAAATACTATCTATAGATTAACAAAATAGTTTTATTTATGTGTATATGGATGTAATGTTACTCATTTAAAATTCAGAGTTTTCTGCTCTTGTTCAAATTTGTAGTCATGGGAGATATTTTAACAATAACATTATAATGTCTTTGAAGATGATAAGTTATGTGTACAATTAGGACTAAAAATCAGCTGTTTGGTTTAATAGTAAAAAACAGCATATTCACTCTTAATGGCCTAGTCATTGGATCTCGTTCCTTTTACTAAATGCAATTCATTTAGCAATGAAATAACTTTAAATCTGCTAAGCAATTGCAAGGTAAAATAATAAAAGGTCAGGTCAACTTATTTCCTTAGTAGAATTTTTTGATGTAAAGATTATAAAAATTATGTGTTTCTTCTCAAATTGTTGGTACATTTTTAATAAAGCATGGTATGCATAATTTTGTTGACTGCATAAATTATCTCCGAGTATAAGTGATGGCTTGCAGACAATTGTGAACATAGGAATTATTAACTTACAACATAATACCTGAAACCTATTAAGTCACAACACAATCATGGAAATCATTTTTAAAGATCTTTCTTGCATTCTCACTAGAGGTAGTCTGTCCATAATAGGTTTTATGTAAAAGTTTTTGTTTTGTCCTGTTTATTTTTATGGCAGAACTATGCTCCAAGGCTGTAGCTACACAAATTCAAAATAAGTGGTCAGTTAAGCCGGTAGAGAACTAAATTTGTCAAACCACATTTTTTTATTCATTTGGCTACCTTAGTAAAAGAATATAAACAGTATTCCAGAGATTTTGAGTTAGCTTCCCCTGGTATGAGTCAAAGTGCATTTCACATGGTAATTGGTATTCATTACTGTGGGACCATGGCACTTGGGAGCCTTACGTGGGACCACAAATGTAGGCACAAGCCTGCATGTAAGACTCTGAAATAGACAACTATGACTATCATTATATATGTCATTCTTCAATTATACATTATTCCCCAGTTCTATTGAAACCACTATTGACAGTATCTGCATGGTTATATCTAGACTCTGTGTTTGTAGCGTTAGTCGCTAACTACAGAGAATTTGGTGCTTGAATCTCTATGTGCTAGTCCATTCGTGATTTAAACAACTAGAGAGTAGGACACATCCCATTTTTATCTTAGCTCCTCAACATAACTGGTACAGCATTCTAGTTCAAAAAACAAGCTTGCTCACTATTAAATGCTTGCAAGTGTCCTCAATCTGTTATGGGAAAAGATTATATATATATATATATATATATATTTATATATATATATATATGAAATACATAAGATGGAATTAATGTGTTGATTAATACCATATTGCCTAAGAATCGCTACATTCATTACTGAAATATTTTCATTTTGTTCTGCTGCATTTTCTTAAATATTTTTCATCATATTTCAGTGTGTACTTGAGAGTTGGCATTACCTATATTTTGTCTTGTGCCTCCATGCCTCCATGGAAGTCCTCAATGCCATTTATTTCATTTGGAGTTTAGAAAATGACAACTCTTAGGTGGGGTGCAATTTGCCTATTACCTCTAAATAAGTCTTGTAGATAATACTGATAAAAATTATCCTAGAGTCTTCATGGACTATAACCATGGCCTGACCAATCATTTAAATATAAATATTATAACTTCTATTAGCCTTCCCATTTAGTATAGCACTTGATGTTGAGGAGAAAGAGCATTGGTATAAGAGTCTTAAGACATAAGTTCAAAGCATAGGTTTTTTTTTTATGCACTAGACTTTACTAGTGTTGGACAAATGAAACAAACGAATCTTTGAAAACAGTATTAATGCTTTTGCACACTTATTGGGAAAAGTTTTAGTTTTTCATAACTTAAGTTCAAAAGTTATATTAATCTCTTTCCAGGGGTCAGATATTATATAAAGCATGGAAGATGAGAAGACATAGACAAGGATCGTTCAGATACTAAAATCTATTTTTTTATTCTCTTCTGAATTTTAAGATGAGAACACCAAGACCTAAAAAGTTTTGTCAGGGTCACACTAGAGAGCGTCAGAACCAGGACTGGAATTTCATGTGTCTGGGTCCAATCCCAGTGTTTTCTACTTCTTTTTTAGTGGTTTTCCTAAGCAATGTGCTGCCTCGATAGCAAAATTCAGTAAAGCTTTCATCTGGAAATATCTACAGCAGTATTTTGATTAAACAACTCTTCTTAGTGGAGCCAGTCATAATCTGCAACATTGACTTCTCCTTTCACAGGCTGAAGGAAATAGCTCAAAATGAAGTACATCTCAGCAGCCTCCTGAAGCAAAGCTAACCAAACTGTAACTGGAAACACAATATTCTATAACCTGGCAATTTAACTCTCTGGTTATTTCTCTTTCTCAATAACCAAATGGGTATAACTCAGTTTCTTGCAGGTCTTTTAAATATAAACCAACAGGGATTAGTATGTAACCTATTTTTATATGTATTTTTTTTTCACCTTGATCCTATTGATCTTAAAATCAAAGATTGTGGAATAAGTTTCTTCCATGGATCCAGGTAATAAAAATGTCAACAGGAGCATACTGCTTCGGAAACATGGTATCCCTTTAATTAATGTTGCCTTGTCCTCCTTTATTAGTCAATAGAAAGTATGAGCATCTCATTTTGTTCCTGTATTGAAGGAATTTACCAAGTTTTCAGTGCCTCTGATCTCAAATTTACCAAGAATTGAATAATTATTGTAGTGTCTTATCTATTTATAATTGTTATATAATTTGTTGACTCAAAGTCTTAGAGATATAAATGATTTTAGATATTATTTGATTCATCTATTTTACAGATGAGGAAATCTATGCCCAGTGTTGTTTATATTTCAGTGATTATGATTATTGTCATATCTCACACATTTACCATATTATCAAAAGACAAGTGCATTTCAAATTTAAAATTTTCTTCCCTGATAATATCCAATGATTTATTAAACACATTTGGAATAAAATTATGTTTTGATAGAAAAATTCTAAAAAATTAAAGCATGTTACATATTTTACATAACCATTATGTTTATAAATTATCTGTACTTTTGTTATGGCTATTTTGAGGGATAAATGTAATATATTATTATTTTATTTTATAGATGATAACATAATCAAGTTAAATATTTTAAAATAAGTGCAATGATTTTAAATTTATATGTTCTCAAAAGTTTATTCCCTAAAACATATACTTACATATAATGAAAAACCATTCTATGTATATGTGTATATACACACACACAACATGTATACACACAATGGTTTTGTTCATGACACACACGCACATAGTTATGTTATGGGCAAAGAAAAAAAAGGTTTAAAAACCTACAGAATAAAGTTTCATCATTTAATTGTGAAAACCTGATCAGTTAATAACTGATTATTAGATCTCAATAAAAGTTGGATCACAGAGTTAATTATGATGGGTGTAGGTATTATTTTTGTGTTCCTTTTTGAAGAAGACATGTTAGATAAAACAGTTCCCCAAAGCTTTGTAAAGTATACACACACACACACACACACACACACACACACACACACACACTTCCCTAACTCCTTTAATTTTGGAACAGAATATTATATTCAGATTTCCTTCAAATCACAGGCTGCTCTGTGTGGCAAGTTCTAACAGAACTCAGTCAAGGTGAAATGCAGCCAGCTTTGGCTGCTAACAATGTATTCATACAGCATATGATCTCTGTCTGTTCAGGCTGCTTCTTGCTCTTGTCTCAGAATAAGAAAGGAGTGCTGCTTTCCTGGGGTATGCTATTTGAGAAAGAAAGTAACCTAACACTAACTGCAGGCGGGGTCAGAGTGATGTAACAGGAAGCTCTGATGTTTCCCTTCTGCTGCTGAGCACATACAATGTGACAACACTTCCAATCCACTCAGAACAACCCTCCCTCTCCAGCAGAGAGTATCACCTCCTGATTTAGGATCATCAGGCTCTGTTCACTGGACCTGACCCTGCCTGCAGGATTACATTGCAAAGCTTTCACTCTTCCCCACCTTGCCTGGGGGTAAATCTCTTCTGCGGAATCTCAGAAAATCAAATTCCATCCTAAGAATATTTCACCAAGAATTTCCTCAGAAGCTGTGCTGGGTAAGTACACTATTCAGAATAAATATATGTATTCTGAATAGTATTCTCATTTAGTTTGGCAATGTTCCTACTGTGAATTTAGTGACATTGAAATAATATTGAAACATATTCTCATTTATTTCACATTTTAAAGAAACTACAGTGTATTACTCCCAAATGTATACAAAATCCATTACTACTAGATGTTATTGCACAGTGATATTCTAGAAGATAAATTTAGCAAGTAATAAAAATCTAAATGGATTAAAAAGCATACTTCTAAACAAATACTTAATCAGGGAACAATGCCTTTTAAAATTAGCTCTACTATTAGCTAAGCTTAAATTTTGACAGCTGGAAAACATTTTCCCCCCAGGAAGGGTCTTTAAACTTTTCATACAGTTAGTACTCTGAGAAGGGGGGGGGGGGGAAGAATAACTACTTATGGGGTCTTGGAATCTCTGCAAAATTGAACAAAATGGAGAATTAAAAAGAAAAGTAATCACTTTGGAATTATTATTATATGTGTCTTCTATTTGCCTTTTATTTGCACATATATCTCTAGTTATTGAACTAATAGAATTTTCACTGTTCATTGTGGCCAGATGTGCTTAGTCTCTCTCTTACTAACCCTGAATTGTTTCCGCTGTATCTGATCAGGGGGTGGGCTACAAAAGAAAAAAAATCCCAGCTAGGATTAAGAAAATGTTATTTCCACATTAAGTATAATTTTACAACTCTTTAGCTAACAATGCATTGCTTCAATTTCTCTGGTATCTCTCTGCAAGCTTTTGGGGGGACGGCATGAAATAGAGATAACTGTGAATAAAGAAAAGTGACAAAGTTTTTCCAAATAAGTATAGCAGATTATTAAATAGAGAATTTAAAGTGTGTATTTTTTAAAAAAGAATTTCCAGAAAAAAACTTACAGTAATGTTGAGATGAAACATCTGTTAATGCTTCTTTCACCAGTACAGACTGTCCAGGACTATTAAGAAACTATTGTCTACTTAAGTGTTGGTATAGAGATGTCACAAATTTGTTACTAAGAAAAATTAGATGTCAGATTTGGGTTCAAATTATATTGATTGATATAATTTACTTATATAAAAATTAAGTGTCAGATTTGGGTTCAAATTATATTGATTGACATAATTTATCTGTGTCTATATTCTTTCTTACCTATGTAATTATACTGTGCAGAATGTCCTTCAGTGGAGAAATCCTGTACTTAATCACCCATAATCTGGCACATTAACAGTGTACAACAAACTTATTCTGAGTAACTCCCTCATAATTTTCTACTCAATTTTTCCACAAATTTCTCCAAATAATGGAAACTTCAATTAAGCCTTTTATTTTGTGATTCTTAAAAATATTGTGGCTGATTCCCTATTGCCTTTCAACCATTAATTGTTTTGAATGCCCTGACACATGCGTAGAATTAGAAAAAGTGTTTTTAGAATGTGACTTTGTAAATAGCCATTAAGTAATTAGGGAAGGAAATGAAAAGAACACATTAAATGCCTAACCCAATGCCATGGGTTAGTAATAAAAATTAAAATAGCATTATTTTTAATTTATATTATTTTCTTAGAAGGAGATATTATATTAATATAATATTTTTAATAAGGCACTCCCCACACATATCTAATTTTTATTTAATTGCTAACCAAAAACCCATAATTTTCTTCCATAACAATTAAATTTTTGTTAACTGTACTAATAGTGTGGTTTATAATTTTTATTTTCAGAAAATACTGTTGAGAAACACTAGGTAACGAATTTTGAAGGTCATTAGGCAAAGACTTATTATTTGAGAAAATAATTGAACATTTGAAATAAGAACTCATATTATTATATTCTAAAGTGTGTTTTCTTTAATGATAAGAGAGTATCAGAGGATCAATGCATGCTTTCAGCCATAAAGAATTCATTTATTTTTCTAGATGCTATGGGATCGTAAAAGCAATGCAGAGTCTAAGGCCAGTTATAAATATGGAAAATGAAACATAGGGTTGAGAAATTGTAAGAATAATGTGAGTTAAAGTCTGTTTTACCTGCAATATTCAGTTATCTTTAAGAGATATGCTTTTGGTTACCACTACAAGGTCTTCCCCCCCCCTAATATATATTAGCACATTCCAAAATATTGTTTTATTAAACTATGTAAAAATGTTAGAATATATAAAACTACTCATTCAATTTGAAAAAAAGATTGGGAAAACAGGAAAATAAAAAAGAAATTAGAATTGATTCTGTAGTTTTAAAAATGATGTTAAATGAATGGCCACCGTGTATATACTTTACCTACTGGTGATGCCTAGGATACGTTTAAATGGAATCAACACCCTAGCATATTTATGAGAATCTTCACATTCATCGTATATATTTACCATTATTTTGTACACACCAAATTTATTTCAGTAAGAAATTCAAAATAATATTAAGACAAAAAAAGATGATTTTATATGCTTTATGCTAATGTGGATAAATTATTTGATAAACTCATAAAATTAATCAAACTTCTGTTAATAGTATTAGTATATATTTCTAACTTGCATCATTTTTGTAACAAATATAACACTATGTTGCTTTCAACTTTTCTCTCCATGGTTAAAATTTGATAGTACCTTAATTTTTAAGAATTATCTTACAGATATTTATACAAAAATTAACAAAAAAAATTAAAGGATCAAAATATACATTCATGAAACAAAACTGATTTTATACTCTATGTATGATTTTGAACACAGCTTGAAAAAATAATTCTGTTTTAGAGATATCATGATTACGATACCAACTTTTCAAAACACAAATATATTCAAAGGACATTATTTGAAGTCATTGGCTTTATTCTCTATCTTATCTTTGTTTCGTATTCAGAGATGCTATTAACCCCAAAACATAAGTTATATCATTGTAATGGTGTTAATGAAAGACACTCAGAGTCAAATTTGTAACACCTCTGTGTTCTTGACTCAATCAGACTATCAGAGAATACACTTAATATGAAAAGCCAGTACCCAGCTATCTAAAACATTTGTCTGTATCTGGGTTTAAAGCCCACGCGTGAACCATAAACATTTATAATTTCTTAGGAAAGCTGTCTTTTTCTACCAAAGTACTTCTACCCTGCTGCATTATTAAATTATTTCAAAAAATCTGCTCATTTAATATAAGAAAATGTTTTGATGAAGTTATGGAAAATAAGAATGTACCAGAAACACAAGATCAGGGTTACATACCAACAAGATATTTCAATCATTTCCCCATTTATTCACATAAACAATCATTCCTATCCAAACTCCTTCATCAATAGCAGTTACACACCTCAAAGTATCTTGGGACTCCTGGGGGCGGGGTCAGGCAGTTAAACAACTGACTCTTGATTTCAGCTCAGGTCATGATCTCACAGTCATCAGAATGAGCACCGCATGGGGCTCTGTGCTGACAAAATGGAGCCTGCTTGGGATTTTCTCTCTCCCTTTTAATCTGCCCCTACTGCACTCTTTCTCTCTCAAAAATAAAATAAAATAAAATAAAATAAAATAAAATAAAACCTTAAGAATAAAAAGCATCTGGATGATTTTCACGCCTTAACTTTGATTTAACTCCCTGTAATTTGGTTCATAACTTGGAAGATGTATAGTCTTAATTAGTATAAAATCGAAGAAGTAAAAGGTGGACTGCATTTAATTGTACAGTTTGAAATGTAAATACTGAGCTAGTGTGCTTTAGGAAGAACATATAATTAGATATATGATAATTAAGTCAACAAACCTATTTAAATAACAGGAAATATATTTTCATACATTATATTGCCATTTTGTTTAAACAGGAAAGTCTTCAATAAATCTAGATTATTATTTTTTCATGTCTAATTAGTATTATAATATTGTTCATTAAATCAGATTAATAAAATAATCTGCATTTTCCAGTATTTGTGTAATCTTAAATCTAATTGTTTTTACTTCAATTATTTTACCAAAAATTGAAGACATGAATTTAATTTTTAACAAAACAATAAAAGTCTTATTATTATTTAAAAATAAAGTAGAATCACTTACTGTGAACTGAGTTAGAGTCTATGTTTATTAGATTATTAGTACTAATTATCAGATGATAAATTGCAAATATTTTCCTAGAACCTGTTTCCTCCTTTTTTTACCTTTAAATTAGTTTGTTTACCTAGAAGAGACAGTATTATGCAGTATCATTTGCAAATGACAGTATCATTTGCAAAATGGTCAAAAGAGTGTATTCGTTTTTAAAATGTAAGACTTTTTTTATTACTTCACGCTTTTAATTAAATATATATATTTTTTTACCTTGGTATCAAAAGGGCAGAAAACTCAACCCAACACAGACATAAATAAGTAAGCAAATAAATAAATGAATAAATAAATAAATAACCAACCTATCTCTATGGTATCAAGGCTATACTATAGCTCAATGCTTTACTGAGGTTGTTGGATAGAGTCAAATTTTCAGAGACATCGTATTCCCCTTAACATGCGAATATATTTTTTAATTAAAAGATGTTAATATGGTATAAACTTTTATATAAATCTGTCATTATTTCCCTATTCAGGTTTAGGTTAATCTGAGCCCAACCAGGTTTCCATAAAACCATGGTGACTCCTGAACATGTCATTTGGTCTATTAAATAACAGTGATACAGTGAAATGGCAACTATGTGATTTATAAGAGTGCTGCTTCTCCTCACAGATTAGTCACATAGAGGTTTATTAGCATATTCGGGAGCACACGGGTGTTTTATCAATCAAAACTAAAATAAATTTGTTTTATATCCAAGTATCAATTTCATAAATTCTACAAATGAATATTAATTGAATCCATATCCATTGATTAACATGAGACCAAATGTTGTTTAGATATTTTGTGCATAAACCTCAATTTTGCTTCCTTTCCAAGGATAATATGAAGGGAAAATGGGAACTTTGGTAAGTACTAGAGAAGAATAAATTATGTTATAACTGAAAATAAGGAGGATTAAA